CAGCACCTGTCTGATCGTCAGCATGTGAAAAGGCCTTTTCATTATGACCTTGTTGAAAACTGACAGATCGAGGATGGGTCTCATTCCCCCTGTCTTTTTCGGGACAAGAAAATAGCGGGAGTAATACCCCTGATTTTCTTCCCCTTGAGGAACCCTGGAAATAGCCTCTTTCAACAGGAGTTCCCGCAGCTCTGCCTGGAGCGCAAGACACTGTTCCTGGGATGACAGGAGTGTTTCCTGTATCCCATTGAACTGTGGGGGGGGGGAGGCGAACTGCAGGGTGTACCCTCTGCTGATCAGCCTGCTCATCCATCTGTCCATCAGACACACGCGCTGCCACTCTGAGAAATACTCTGAGAGCGGGCGCACATGCTCGAGATGTATTGTGGTCGTCATGGCGACGAGCCACGTCAAAGCCCTTGCCGCCGCTGCCTGTGAGGCAACCCAAGGTGGGCCTGGAGCGAAAGGGCTGTGAGGGAGCCTCCACACGCTGCGTTTCACTCTGGCTCTCATCATGAGGCGTGTAGACGCTCAGGGGATGAGTGGAGGTGTATGCAGTGTTGACCACATGAGGCGTTATAACGGCGCTCATGGGTTTATTATGACCGTGTGTAGGAGACGTATCTCGGACAGAGGAATGCCGCGAGCTCTGCGGTTTATTAACCGATAGGTTAAAACCAGCAGGCTTCTGCAGCGAGCCCTGCTGTCTACTAATCAACAGATTGGTGGCAGCTGGCTTAGTTAGCAAACTCTGCAGTTTATTAACCGATAGATTAAAAAGTGCAGGTTTTTGCAACGAACCCTGCTGGCTACTAACCGATAGGTTATAGACAGGTTTACACAGAGTGGAGGATATGTGAGAAACACTTGATACTGATGACTCAGACAAAAAGTTGGAAAATGAACCCATTTTATTTTTCTCACAATCCCCCCCAACACGTCAAAGGCGGCTCTGCTTCCTTGGAGGCTCACGTGGAGCAGACACAGAGCGGGAGTGCCTCACTCCCCGTTGACTCACCGCCGAGAGACCCCTTCGTCTCTGGGGTGGCAGGGGAGCGGAGACGCGGGCGGAGCCCCTGCCGCCGCCGACGGGCGCTGACGCCGCGGCTGCGGTTGCTGAGAATGCCTCTCCGCCTGCCGCTGTGGCCGGGTTGGACGCTGCGGCTGCTGCGGCTGCTGCGGCTGCTGCGGCTGCTGCGGGCGTTGGTGCCGCTGTGGCCGCCCAGCAGGCTGGAGCCAGCTGACGTGCTGGCGGATGTCGTCCGCCTGTTCGGCAGCCGCCTTCATGGACCAGTAACACCTTCCTGGCCGTCTCTGTAACCGACGCCTGCTGCAGCCAGAGGTGGCGCTGGATCTGCGTCACCCACGCGGCGATCCTTGCCTGGGAGACAGCGACAGACGCGCACAGTGTGAGCTGGGAATCCAGCATCTGTAAATCCCTCCACCTTGGTGAGGGGAACAAATGTGGCCACCGGAGCCTTCAGGGTCCTTGGGTTCGCCGCCGCCCCCTCCTGGTACCTCCTGATGGCGGGGAAGCGTGGCCAGATCGGATCACTCCTGACCGTCTGCACCCACGAAAAAACTCCGGCCATGTCGTCCGGAGCACACCTCTCCTGAGCTAGGGGAACGGGGAGACCTCTGCAGGCGGCCGCCTTGCAAATGATCCCTGGCAGTTCCCCAAGATGCCACCTATCGCCGGCAGCGCCGTGGTGACGGAGAAGGGGACCGCGTGCTCGGCCGCCAAGTCGGCACCCTGCTCCGAGGGAGGGGAGAACCATACGGTGAACCGTGGAGGGAGATGGGGTAGGAGTCGTCCGACTCCTGCCCGGCACTCGGCTCCAGGGACACGAGGCTGCCGTCCACGGGCTCGAAAACTTGGACGGGCCAATCGTCCTCCTCGGCCGCAGCAGCGAGAGCGTCCGCTCTACGCTTCCTGTCGTCCGAGGGGAGACGGGCACAGTGCTTGCATGCGACCTGCTGGCTGAGAGCCGCGTACGCGTGCTCTGACCCCAGGCAGGATTCGCATACTGTGTGCTGATCGTAGCTCATAATATAGCCGGATCCACATGAGGGACAATCTCGAACGCAATTGTTGCTCATGTTCTCGGTTATATCGCTAAGTGTCTCTTGTGCTTCAGTAACGGGGTGCTGAAGAAAAAGAGGGAGCAGATTGTCGGGCCTCCTTCCTATTTATACCGGAAGGTAGCCCGAGGGTGGGGCCCACCTTGCGGGCGGGGCGTGGACTACAAGTGTTTCAGTGCTGCGCGGGTGCGCAGGGGGATTACCCAATAGCGATAGCCTTAGAGGGCGAAGCCATATACGAAATAGAACAGCACTTTTGAAACAGGAAGTGAAATAGAGGGATATGAGGCATGGCTAGAATGGGTGATCTGTTTGGTATTTTGAGCAAAACACTTCATAGACATGTTTTTTATATATTTGTATTAGGGCTGTCAAGTTAACACAACGCGTTAGCGCAAAAAAAAATTAACGCAACTAATTATTTTAACGCGATTAACGCATGTGTATTTTTTGTCCTCGGCCTCCCCGTAGTTTCAGAGCGCATCGAGTGTAAAATACCATCTACAAGCTGATGCTGACAGCCCCGCTCCTGCCGCCCGCTTGTGGCAGACCACACTTCCACGCTCACCGGCAGGCCCGGACTGGCCATCGGGAGGACCGGGAGGGTGTGTGTATGTGTGGCGCGAGCGAGGCACACCTTACGTGTTGTTGTTGTTGTTGTTAGCATCTGGTGCTAGCTAGCTGCGCTAACGGATATAAGGAGCTGTTTCAATGAAAACAGAGGAGCAACATTTCGCCGACAACTGCACCGAGCACTTGACTTCATGCAGGTAGCCAGACAGTGGGACATTGTACGAAAAGTCAGCACACTTGTAGCAGGACAGGGGGAAAAGTAAACACACACCTACAGATTCCCTGAGAAAAAGGGGAGTGGCTAATCAAGCACCCCTGAGAGAAGCTGGAGGAAACCAATCAAGGAAATGATTGGCACCTGTGTGCTGTTAAAAGGAGGACAGCATGTCATTCGAAGAGAGGAGAAAGAACCAAGAGGAAGTCGGAATCTAACAAGGAGGAAAGTGGATTCGTATGGACTTCATCAGATCAATCAGGCTATTTTTGGGAGTTTTTGCCACTGAACCCAGGAGCTGTTGGGGAAACATTTAATGTTCCTCTTCCCAGTTAAAACCTACAATCCAGTGATCTACTCTGGCCTGTCACCCTCAGTTAAGTTATTCTCACTACACCAATATCATTTCTCCTCCTCTTGCACTCGACACCCACACACCACACTCTGGACTGGAAAAACAGAACTTTACAACTTTACTTTCACACATCCTTATCCCCTGAACTACACTCTTACCCTGAGTGACAAAGGACAAAAAAGACTTCTCCCCCCCCCCCCCCCCCACACTCACTCACAGTCAATCCACATGATGTAAACAATCGTAGGCTCTCGGTGTCACATAAGTGATTGATGTTTTGAGAGTTAATTTGACTTATTTGTTTGTGTTTATGTATCTATTGGATTTAAGTTTTTCTGGTAAATGGTCTGTGACATGAGTTGTTTGTTTAATGTACTGATTATTATTTGGGGTTAAAAAATACAGACATTTTATGTTGAAAGTGAATTGGTTGATTATTATTTTCTTTTGTAAACTTCAGTAGCTAGGTCACCGGGCTATCCCTCTGTTTCTGCGTGTTTAAAGCATATCATTTTTTGACAGCTGGCTATATTAAAAATTCCTCTGTCTGGCGCCCAAGTTTAATTTATTCGTTCAGGGATAAGACCTACACTACACACTCAGCACGGATAGTGCGCGCAACATGATTGCAGCGTCCAGGCAGCTCCCGTTCGAGCTTATATGCCTTGAGCTGCACATAGCTCAACGATCCATCACAGTGTCTCCACATTCATTCTCACACACACACACACACACACACACACAGGCAGTGATATCCCCATCTCTCACTCCCTATCCCGGCATCCTATGACATCATCGTCTGATGCTGTTAGTCACCACACACACACACACACACACACACACACACACACACAGTATTATTGTATGAGAGAGGTTCCAGGTTGAATTGAAGCGAATATTTGTAATGTTCAGAGGTTGTTGTGTTTAATATTCATGAGAATATTTGTCATTGTTCAAATGATAATAAACAAACATATAAAGCATATTTGTCCACTCATATGTTGATAAGAGTATTAAAAACTTGAGATATATCCCTCTAAGGTACATTTAGAACAGATACAAAATGTGCGATTAATTTGCGATTAATCGCGATGAACTATGGACAATCATGCGAGTAATCGCGATTAAATATTTTAATCGACTGACAGCCCTAATTTGTATATATCTGAGACCTATGCTTTTGCCTAAAAATAGCATGATAGGTGACCTTTAATATTAACTAAGAAGCATGCATAAAAAAAATTCAAAGATTACACAATTTACAAAATACACATCTGTATCAGTTTTGAAGATATAGCAGCCAGATCTATCCTGTCCTTTTCTCAGTAAACTTTCTCACAATCCTACAATAACGTGCTTAAAACCATTTACAGTAGTTAACATTAGAAGGTGATTTAGAAGACTTAAAAAATGATCTAGCCCTTTGTGAGCGGCTGTCACAAACATTCAGTCAGTAAGCCACAAGGATTACATTTACGCATGCGGCTCGAGAGCCGCGGGTTGCCAACCCCTGGCCTAGGTGATGATTTAAATTGCAGTTAAGTGGAGTCCAAAGCACCTTAACAAAGTGATCATTTGTCAGGGATTTGCTTTTGGCAATTGGTTTGAGGATTTCTGTGTCAAGAGAACGTCTTACACATATACTATCATAGCTGACCCAACAAGTGATGAGAGGATCTATCTATCTATCTACCTATCTATCTATATATCTATCTATCTATCTATCTTACATAAATACTATCATAGTTGACCCAACAAGTGATGAGATGAACTGACCTGGAAACCGAGCAATATGCAGAGGTACCAGGGCGGCCTGTCGTTGAGGGAGTAAACCAGATCTGAACCTTTGTCCACGGCCTCCTCCAGGGACTCTGTGTGTGGATCCCCAATGTCCACTGTCAGCTGGGGCTGTTCATCACTGTCTTTCACCTTGAAGAGAAGCAAAGCAAAGGTTAACAAGTCATTCATTCCAAAAAAAAATCTGTTTTTTCTGTTTTATTGTGTTGCACTGTTGGAGGAGCCTGTGACCTAAGATTTTCATTGTCATAACTACACTGTAGCTATGTACGCATGACCAATAAAAGAAAACAATTCCAAGACTTTCTGACAACATAAACATACCTTAAACTAATAACTCGCTCTTCCAATCCAATCCAACTATATTTATATAGCACATTTAAAAACAACAGAGTCGACCAAAGTGCTGTACATCAATAAATATATAAAAAAGCAGCATAAATACATTTAGACAAAACCGATAGGACAAAAAGAAACAAATGTAAAAGCACGAGACAATAAAACCATACTTGTAGCCACAGACCCTCATACATGATGTAAAAACATTTAAAAACACAGCAAAATAGAAAACCCCAATTTAGAAAACAGAGACTGATACGTAGAGAACAGGGAGAACAAGTAGGTTTTTAAACGAGATTTAAAAACAGGCACATGAGGAACAGCCGACGGTTTTATAATGGATTTGTTTTTTCCTCTGTCCTTGAAACTGAGGGTGGCTCTGGGAAATACTTCCATCTTCACTGTAATGTAGAGCTGTTGCTTCAGTTGGGCTCAGATGAGAGACATAAATACCAATCGTACGCAGTTAGTGTGAGTGATGACGAGTGGAGCATCCGTGTGGGTGATAGTGGAGGGCAGGTGAGGTGAACAACATCTCCCAAATCATATCAAGATAGATCGAAGTGGTCCTCCCACACACACATTTTTAACCTTGTATAACCAATTTCATGTTTTTATGTGTATGTATATTTAAAGAGAGAGTGGAGGAAAATGTCATAGTGCAACATGAATCACTGCCAAGTTCAAAGAGCACAACATCCGTGTTATTGTGTGAATGTGAAATGTAAGGATGTGAAGCTTTGATTGGGAGGCACCATATGTGAGAATGCTGTTCATTGACTACAGTTCAGCATTCAACACCATTGTGCCCTCCAAGCTGGCCATCAAGCTCAGAGACCTCGGGCTCAACAGCGCCCTCTGCGACTGGATCCTGAACTTCCTGACGGGCAGACCCCAGGCAGTGCGGGTGGGAAACATCACATCCTCCACCCTGATTCTTAACACCGGTGCCCCTCAAGGCTGCGTGCTCAGCCCTCTCCTCTACTCCCTGTTCACCCACGACTGCGTGGCCACACACAGCTCCAACACCATCGTGAAGTTTGCTGATGACACGACCGTCATCGGCCAGATCACAGACGATGACGAGACGGCATACAGAGAGGAGGTCGAAAACCTGACATCTTGGTGCCAGGAGAACAACCTCCATCTCAACATCAGCAAAACAAAGGAGCTGATTGTGGACTACAGGAAGCAGCAGGGAGAGGGACACGCCCCCATCGCCATCAATGGGACTACGGTGGAGAGAGTCAAAAGCTTCAGGTTCCTTGGGGTCCACATCACTGAGGACCTGACATGGTCTCTTCACACCACCACCATCACCAAGAAAGCTCGACAGCGGCTCTTCTTCCTCCGCAGGCTGAGGAGGTTCAAAATGGATTCCAGGATACTCTGCAACTTCTACAGGTGCACGATAGAGAGTATCCTCACTGGCAGCATGACGGCCTGGTACGGCAGCTGCACCGACCTCGATCGTAAGGCTTTACAGAGGGTGGTGAAAACTGCACAGCACATCACCAGGACGGAGCTGCCATCCATGGAGGACCTTTACTCCCAGCGGCTCAGGAAGAAATCACTACGGATTATCAAAGACCCCCATCACCCCAGCCACAAACTGTTCTTTCTGTTGCCGTCTGGCAGACGTTACCGCAGCATCCGGGCAAGGACAAGAAGATTCGGAGACAGTTTCTTCCCGCGGGCAGTGAGACTGTTAAACAATTGAACTGTTGAAACAACATCAAACATTCAACTGCTACTCAGTAGTATGTATCTAATACCTAATATATATATATATCATTCCAATAACTTGTATATAGACTCATACTGCACTATTCCACATCATAACTTTATTTCATTTTTATAACTATTATTATTTTTGTATTGCTCTTGCTCTTATTGTTATTATGTTATGTTATTATGTTGCATTGTTGGAGAAGCCTGTGACATAAGATTTTCAACTGCATAATTACTCTGTAGCTATGTCAGATTGACAATAAAGAACCTTGAACCTTGAACCAAGTTTGGTTGAGTTTGCATTCAAAAGCTGTACATTAAAAATACGAGAATAGGGTGTTTAAGGAATAAGAAATGCAGAAGAATAGCTCTGTGGTCTTTAATGTGTTGTTTTTATTATTATCACTGGTGAAGCTGGTGCTTTGTAGAAGGTCACATCAGTTTTGTTACAGCCTTGGCAATATTTCTGTTTTACTAACTTCTTTCAGTTCAATTTCACTTCCCACTGACTTCTCCATTCATCAAGACAGCCTCCCTCAGCCCGTCTCAGTGTTCTCCTCTCATCATATGCCTGATCCAAAAATCCATTGCCCCAATTTTGTGATGTGCCTCTTGTTAATAGCTGTCTTTCATTACCTTAAAGTGGACCTATCATGCTATATTTGAATAATATAGTGTAGGACCATACCTATATAAGGCATATTTATACTTTGTTTTTTTCAAAATACCAAACAGATCATGCATTTTAGCCATGCCTCATTTTGCTCAATTTGACATTTTTTAGCTCTGTTTGTGCAAGGGCAGATTCAGTGAGAACAGCACCATCTACAGGCCTGGCATATGTACTACAGCGTCTCCAGCGCTTTCGAACGGCAATGGCCATGGCTGTCTCCTCCTGATTGGTGGAGTTGGCCCAATAGCCGTAGCGCCACTGTCCTGACGTCAGGACAGTGTTCAAATCTGGATCAGTTTTTATCAGATCCGTTGCAGCCCCTTTTTTAGAGATTTGGGTATGGAGGAAAATAGAGAGGGTTGTGTTTTCTGACACTTGGTGAGTTCTCTGGAACACCAGGGACACATATTCATGTATAAAAGACGTACAAAAGTGCATTTTGCATGATAGGTCCCCTTTAATGTTAATACTATTTATTCTTGAAAGTCTGAGGTATCCAGTCATATAAATGGTGGACTATGCAAGGTCTACTTCTGACTTTCCAGAGAAGGGACAGAAAATGTTTTCACATAATTATAAAAAGGCACATTTTATTTTCCACATCCAACCAACCACAAATGTCAATGAGATGACACTTTCTTCAGCTTGTAAAATGTGCATGTGTTATCAATAAAGCCAACAATTCAAGAGGTTATATGAGTTCATTGTGTGCATTGGTGATATAAGGCACTTGACATCAAAGTGTCAACTAAATGACATAAACTATGTAAAGTGTAACTCCCTTAACTTTGAGTTTCTAATGCCGCGTTTCCACTATACGGCCTCGCTCGGCCCCGCTCGGTATGGCTGGGCCGCGATTGGCCTCGTTAGGACCAGCTCACTTTATGGCGCGTTTCCATTACAGTTTAGGAACTGGGGTAGTATCTATAGTAACGCAGTATAGGCGGAGCGACGCTGCTTAAAACTGCCGTGACGTCATCTTCAATGCGACACAACAATGGAGGATGTGAAGATGTGAAAGCGATCGTTTGCTTGTTTTTTGCTGTGTGGTTTATTATCACAAGAAATAGACAAGAGTCGTTTCGAAAGAGGCGACGTATAGAAGAAGCTGACGCGAGAGTTCGGGCAGTCCTCCTACGCCGCAGAGACTACAGGACGACTCGAATCACTACTAACTACAATGCTACTTGGTAAGCTAACGTTCGCTAACTAGCAATGTGTTTAGGCTCACGCTCCCTATACGACCAAAGTATTTCAAGTATTTAATTAATTGTAGCTACCACTTTTACGTATTAAAATATGTATGCTTTTGTTTGTGTATTTCAGAAGTTACCGACCGAGCTACCGAGTGGTGGAATGTGATTGTTCCATCTTTCACACACTCAGTGGGTGGAGAACTTCAGGATGCCTGAGGAAAACCTACGTTCATTACATGAATTCAAAAGAGGGCATTATGAACAGAAAACAGCGAAGTTGTCATTCAGGAATTAAGGTGTTTAAAAATGTGTAAAACTGATGTGTTTTTTCATGTTTGCAAAATGTAATACATGTTTATTCATTGATAAAAGCAATAAATACTGAGGACATTGTGAGAAAGCGACATTTGTGTATAAAATGAAAAGGCGGAATTGTATAATATATGATAAAAACCGGAATGTTTTGCTCGTTATAAGTTAGTCAACATTACATTACATGTTACTTGGGTCTGATGTGCTACCTGAATACCTAGAATGTATAATGTAATACCTAAATATTCATTGTATTGAACATAAATACATCTTTTCTTTTTCACATACATGTGTTTGTCAAATTATTTAAACCAAAAAAATGTTATCAGAATTGACTATTTAGTAAATATTTGAATTTCAAGCACCAGTACTGCCCCCATAATAATAATAATCTAATAAATTAAGCAAATATCAAAGCAAACTATAAACATAAATACAAAAGTGTAAAACACAACAGAACTATATTCATAAATGCAAGTGTAAAAAATTGTTAACATGGATGGAGGCTAAAGTATCCACAGCATAAAATAATATGATTATGATGGTTTGTCTGAAAGACACAGCCTCAAGGTTCAAGGTTTTTTATTTTGTCATACGAACATAGCTAGTGTAGTTATGACAATGAACATCTTAGGTCACAGGCTCCTCCAACAGTGCAACACAATAACCCAGATCAACAGAAATATAGTGCAAGTAAATATTAAGCGCTGTGCACCGCTCTCTTTGTATAGGTGTTTTATTTTGTTCTCTTCTCTTTGAAATATATAAGCAATGTGTTTGAGTCTAGCACAACGAGGGTATTACAATTGAGTAATTTTTACTACATGTATTTATCATGTATTCTTAATACCATTATGTAATGTTATGTTTTAGAGGAGGAC